GAGCGGCGCGAAAAGATTCGAATCTGATTGGCTGATACATATATTTCAGAAACAAGTTAAAATAACGGATTTGGGGCAAAAGTTTGTATATTAGGTCCGGAAAAGTTCGATTTTTTGAAGAACAGTCACAGCAAAAAAAAACTTGACCAAAAACAAGGCTTCAAATTTTAATCTATCATGAGCTTGAGCGCGAACATTTCGAGACAAAAGTACCAAAACGAGATTGCCTTATGTTTTTTTTCGTGTCTGAGATAAAACTGCATAAACTGCATACATTTTTTTTACTTAAGAGTTGTAATCGAAGTTTTATGTTCGGCTTGTTGTTCCGACTATTTTCGAAGAAACTGACGAAATATTTGTGCTCGGGTTTGTTTTTTTAAGAGACAAATTTTCATTTCTTACAAATAATTTTTGCCGGAAACTTTTTAAAATCATATAAAAAGTACTGCTGATCTGAGCTGAAGTTTGAAAAAATATTTCAAGTGTTATTAATATGTCTAAAGTAATGCGTCTTTGATGATTTAACCGAAATTTATTCCGTCTGAAACCGTTCGAAACTGAGAAATTGTTCGAAACTGGTAGAAGCAGGCAAGCTGTCATAACTTCCGTGTTATTAGGAGAAAAATCTATCATTTTTTTATAATATGGCTTTAAATCATCCCATTTTTTTGAAAAGTTGTCATGAGCGGGGCGGGTATTTCCTCACTTACTAATCCAACTTCCAATGGACTGGCTACTTAATTTTGGCAAACTGAACGTTGTAAAGTCCAATTCTTCACACCAGTTTTAACGCCAAGAAATCTGGGATCAAATCTTGAACAAAACCAAATCGAAACATAAAACAACTGGCAAAACTCAAAAATTTAAAGAAAATTGGTTTGTGGTCACCGGAGGGTGCGCTTCTTGGCGACAACAGCTCCAGTTTTTTTTACAGATCTACCCTCTGTTGGCAAGCTCGCAACACGCCGACATGACTGCGGCGGCAATTTTGCGAGTTGTCTTTTATTGCGAGTTGATTGTTTTCGCTTTTTGTCTTTTTCACAATCTGTGAACGGAGTGGCGGTTCTTACAAGCAATTTTGTGCCTTTTTTGAAAACTTCTGGTTGCGGCTTCCTGTGACACTTTGCAGCCTAGTATAGGTAAAGTTTTCGTGATTTTTCTTTTTTTCATTTTTTTAAACAAGCGGACGTTTTAAAGGTGGTTCCTGTTTTCAAGGGTTTATTTCAAAAAAAAACAAAGACAAGCTAAGCTTCAGTTTTCAATCAAATTGATAAACCTGCGTCACCTAAATTGAGCACTTTGAAGGGTTTTCTAGGAGCTGTTTTCAATTGCAAAATTTTTAATCACTTGAAAAGGACACTTTAAAGCAGCAGCTTCTGTTTTGTTGAGAAAATTTTGATTATTATTGTTTAAAAATCATGTACCCTTTCAAGGCTAGCAATGGCAAGCTTGATGTTTTTTTATTTGGATGGCTTCTGCACTATTTTGAACCCACCAAAATCTCAACAAAATAGTTTAGCTTCACCATTGTTTTGTTTTGAAACTATAGCAAATATTTGTACTCAAAAAATTACCATTGTAGCTACAGAATTTTAGACTCAATCGAAAAATTTTGTTACTCTAATTATTGAACTTGAGGGAACCCATTTTAAGTTTTGCAATTCTAAGTTTTTTTGCGGTATTGCGGCATTATGCGAAGATTCTTCAAGTGTAACTTTCATTCAACCTCTTCGGCAAAATTATGTCATTTAATTGAAAAAGGTTTTTTTTTTACCTTAGAAACTGTAATTGAATTATTGTATAAGGATCAATTCTTCTTAACCGAAGAAACATTCAAATATTTTTTGATTTCAATGTTCTTTTTTTAGGCAAGGAATCAATTTGAAAGTCAATTAGAATGTATTATTCCATTTTAAGAAATTTTTTTGATGATCTATTTAATCTGAAAAAATAGTGTAACTTTTCTACGAACGATTTGATTTTGCAAAAGCGTGTTTATACAGATTCAAGGCTGTAAAAACTTTAGCGAACCATGTTTTGAGACTGTATTCCATTTTTTTGAATAATTGTTTTAGCTGACTGAATTGAACCCTTTACAAAAACTATTTATTGACGACCTACCGCAATAGCAAACAATTTCAAAAAATTACAAGTTGACAATTCTCCATGACTACCTTTTTCAATCAAAATCAAACTAATTAAAATAGAAAAAAAAATGAGCAAAACCTTAAAGACCAAGCAACTGGCAACAAAGAACTCCGGCAGACTTTTTTGTATTTTTCAGAGTGTTTTGACCGTAATTTCCATCGAGTTTAACTAAATTTGATGATTAATTGATCAAAACATAAATTTTCAAGTTGAATCAGGACAATCGGTTGCTTTGCAGGTAACAGAAATTAATCCATCTAGACTGATTATTAAAAAAAAACTTAATTATTGAACAAAACGAAATCAATTTTTGTAAAAAAAGTTTTGGTGAAATTTCTGTTTTTCTTAGAAAGAGCTGTTGAATACAAGAAAAAGCAGGAAAAAACGGTAACATTGCTTAAATTAAAAATAACCTTGGAGACCAGCTTTTTGATTTTTGCGTCTAAACTAGTCTCAAAAGCTAAAAACTCAGACCAGTTTTTTGACAATGAGAGAGATTTTTTTCCTTTTTGTTCAGAATCCAAATTCACGACCAGTAGGGCTTCAATATTATACGGCACTTGACCTCTCAAGCTTTGGTATCAAATTGAGCTTTGAGTTAGTCAAAGTTGGTTTGAAAAATTTCCGATTTGAATCCAAAGCTCCTTTCTACTCTGCAAAAAGTCGGAACAATAACTCAATCCTTCCTTAGATAGCTTTTGCGTTTTCAAATAAATTTAACACCAATAAAAATATTTCAAATTTTACACATAACTTCCAGTGCTTTTCAACAGGGCAACGAAAAAAATCAACATTTGTTCGAAAGTATGATTTTTCATAAAAGGTGGTTTTGAGAACGGTTTTGGTTTTTCAAAAAGAGATTTTACTCGTTATTAAAAGTGATTCAAATTGAAGCATAAATAGAATCGACTTCTTGTTTCATTCTTGAAGCATGGTATAGCAAAGATAGCGCATGTGTTTTTTCAAACTCTCTGAAAAAAATTAGCTCATGTTTACTATTTTCGAGATACAAGATGGCACGTTCGAAGCGCAATATATATTATATTTTTTAATCACAAAAACTCGTTTTCCAAAATTTTTTAGGAATTTTTTTTTCCACTATTTGTAATATATGTTCAATCAACTGTCTTATGCCTAGTTAATTTTTTTTTTTTGAATTTTCACAGGCCTTAATTTTTCCTTTTCTAAAATTTCGCACAACATTTAAAAAACTCAAAAAAATTTTTTCTTCGTTTCCTTCTTTGCTCTAAATTGTTTAATTTTTGTCACCCAGGCCATCAGAAACTTATGCATAAAACGGGCTAGTTTTTAGCTGCTCGTTGAAATTTATCAAGCTTTACTTTATCCTGTTTGTTTTCCAAAAAATTGCAAAAAGTTTCAAACAAGAAAAAATAACTCAAACAAAACCAAAAAATGACTGATTTTTTATTAAACGTCTATGATTTTAGTTTTAAAATGCCAAAAAAAACCAAAGTATTTGAAGGACAGCTGCAGCGAAAATTTGATGTTGAATATCACATTATAAACAACGAAACATCAACCAACTAGTTAGAAAAATGTGTCTTTAGCCTTCAACATTGAATTTTTCAAATTTTGAAAAAAAATTATGGTTCAATAGATGGTTTTCATGCAAGCTAGCTAAAATTTAAGTTTCCTTGCAAGTTATAGAAATATCAGCTGCAGATTTTCCACGGTTGATTCGGTTGGTTAGACGCACAAATGACTGTTATTAATAGGACAAATCCAAGATCAAAGAAGAACATAAAACAGAGATCTAAATGTTCCATTCTAGTAACCCTGTCATATTTCCAAACACATGTTGATAAATTTTCCCTCGATACAAAATTGATACCATAGAAGAACCCGATTTGGGCTCTTCAACTTCCCCCGAGGCTGGAATCAAAAGTCAGCCACTCTAATGCTTTCAAGACACACCAGTTGTCCCTTTTTTCCCTCCCTACCGCTAATCCAATAATCACGGGGTAGATGGCCGAAAAAGCAGATGTGAAAGTTTTCATTAAAAAAAGATTTCAAACAAAATTTGAGAAAAGTCATATGTAAATTTTTTCAAGATAATGAAAAAAAATTTTAGCCTTGGAAACTGTTTGGTTTGTCAATTTTGATTCGGAAAAATTATGATAAAAGCTTTCGAAAAATTTGAGCAAAGAAAATGGTCTGCTAATTGAGAATATTGTTGTACCATATGAGATTGTCCGCATTTGCCCCCATTCAACCCAATTTCCTGACGTAATGATCGATTGAAATATTCGCAGTGGAAACATTTGTAGCAAGTGCATAGGCAGGGAAACATTCCGTGGCTAGATTGAAAGGGGAAATGGAAATAGGGAGAGAGCTTGGACAGCAGCTGAACTTGAACTTGCTTTTATTAGAATATTGATCAATAATTTCGATAGGGAAAATAAAAGAAACTTGAAAAGATTTTATTACAGCTTTCTTTTTCTTTCAAATCAGATGTAAATAAATCGGAGCAAAGCTGATTTCACTAAGTAAAGAAACGTTTTTACATAATCAGGAAAACCAATTTTCAAGTAGATTATGTTTAAAAATACTAGAAGTTTAATTAGTCGAAAAACCAAATTAGTTAAATATTCCAAAAGGAATTTTCGTAGAGAAAAACTTTTGATTTGTAGAAAAAAAAATTGATTAGTTTGAACATTCGTTCTCTGTACCAAATTGGTTGCTTTGAAAAAACCTTGAGTCTGACTCTAGTTTTGATTTTTATACAGTCTGCTAAATCCTTTGTCTTTTTCTATGTCTAACGACAGCAACGGTATTGCGCAACGTTGAACTAATCCACCAGCCCCTTTTTACCGTAGAAGCCCGTGTTAGAACATACAAGACCTTATACTTCAGCAACTCATAACAGAATTCTAACCAATACCGCTACTAACCAACTAATACCATTTATAAACCTACAGGTTATAAGACGAAATTGGAGAAATGTTTCAAATAAAATCTTCCATCGGAATATTTAAGTAAACCCATTACATTACAACATACAAAAGGACGCTAATATGTGATATGTGTTAAAATATCACTTACCAATTCACCGAACGCTTCAGAAATTTTACCCCTCGTTTTAAACTATTTTTTGTCCAACTTTGGGAAAAGTGAGGAAATAATTATACAGAGAGGTTCGCAGCGGAAATTCCCAAGTTCGCAGCTTTACAATTTATAATCATCTCATTTCCCGCGTTTTCATTAGAAATTGTCACGGTAATGATTCATTTCTAATACCATTCCCTAACCAATTTCCCACCACTTTTTTATTGAAATCTTATTTTGAACTAGAATTTTTCTTCAAACCTATTCTTCAGCGCATTTTTTTTTGTTTGAGCCTAAAATTGATCTCAATTTAGATCCAATTATTTATTTTTCAGTTGGCAAAATTGCTTCCCACCACTTTTTTCATTGAAACCTGAATTTGATCTAGAATTTTTTCTTTCAAATCCAACTTGATTGCTTTTATTTTTTTACGTTTGAGCCCATAATTGATCTCATTTTCTGTCCAATTATTTATTTTTTATTTGACAAAATTGCTTCTTTTAATTGGCGAAATTGCTTCCCACCACTTTTTTCTTGAAACCTTAATTTGGTCGAGAATTTTTCTTACTGTTTATCACAAACTTGATCTCATTTTTTCACGTTTGAGCTCAAAACTGAACTCATTTTTTTCCAATTATTTATTCCAGTTGGCAAAATTGCTTCGGGTTAATTCTCAATCAAGCAGCAACAAAAAATTACATTGCGCTCTGAGGAGTTTTCAGTAGAATAAAAATTTTTCTCGAGGCTTTTTTACTCAAAAGAATTAGTTCATAATTTCGTTTTTCACATCACGAGAAAAATATACCTATATTCATTTTCATTGTAATATCGAGCCCTAGGGAACTCTAAAAAAATCTATTGTGTTACTTTGCTATTCAATTTCCCTTATAGACTATGTATTCTGACTACCAATAAAAAGACAATAGAAAGCAGGGAAAGAAATGAATTCCACAGTCTAATGGGATTCCTGAGCAGCTAAAAGACACCATGAAATTATATATACACACCATATTCTTAAGCACTGACGACTAATTTCTGTGAATTCATTTGGAGAAAATTTATTCTCTTTTTTTGTCTTCTGCAAAATTAGCAAAACTGAGAAATATTCAGTCTATTTTGATACCAATAGGAGCAAAATTTTATTTCCTTTTTCATATTTCACACAACTTTTCAGCTGTGAAAAAGACAAAAATTAGCAGCAAATATGAAGGATAATTTGTTTTCCTAGGAAATAAATGGTGCAAAAAACAAACACAAAAGAGAAAATAAGCTTAAAAATAAACACATGAAAGGCAGAAAAAAAACTGAGCACGTCTTTTTAAACTGGAGCACTTATCATCATAGATAAATTGAGCGCGTTTCATTTTTTATTCGAGCTAAAATTTTTCTTGTTTTTATGTGCTTAGTGTGTTAAAATAAACAGAATAAACCGCTTGGACAAAGACAGGTGACGTAATTCTTTTAATTTTTGCTTTAGATGTAAGAACGAAAATCTGGTGCTTCTAAACATTGAAAAAAAAATGACTTTTTGCATACGATAATCATTAGTTTTTAAATGTGTCTTACTATATCTATACCATAGCTTTTTACTTCGTTCAATGATTTGGATAATTGATTGATCTGACTTTTTTTACTGTCTATAGAATCTAATTTACTTTGTCTGTTGATTTGGAGTTACACCTATCAAAACAACTGCGTCGAGGTAAGCAAAAAGCAGATTAATCCTTTGGTGTCTTTTTTCATTCTAACCTAAATTATTTTTCAACCTGAACAAAGAAAAAAAGATATGCACAAGGTTTTTGGTATGTGTTTAATCACGTGCTAGCTGCAAAAATTACGTCTAATTTGATGAACAGAGCTGAAAAACTAAATAACCTTAAACTGGCACTCGTTAGCCTCTCAATAGAGTATTTATCTTTTTCCGTGTGTGAATTTTGGTGCCTGGGCAGAAAAATCCCGTCTCGTGTCTAACCTGGCAAAAAAATTAGAGTGCTTTACTGATTAGCTTGATGCGCAATCAGTGTCTGTACTGTATTAGCCTCCATTTTACTGTCAGGAGTTGCAAGTTCTTTTTAATAGTTAAGCATCGAATTGAAAATTAAGAAAATGCCGTCACATTACCAAGCCAAACTGTGCATTGTGTGCATTGTAAGCGGATTCCGCAACAGGTCGAAGTCAGATTTGTCTCGGAATCCGCAACATTGCGATTTTGATTTGATCTCCTTTGCTGTTTTGGATTCCTCGCACAAATACCTAAAATGCTTTATTGTTCAAAATCGCTTCAAAAATATGCAAATTTGCGGAATCCGCAACATTATTTGAGGAATCCGGAACAGTTTGTGCAATTCTGAAACAATTATTAAGACATGTGTATAGTAAAAATGAGCTGTTGTGGAAACCGCAACTGTAAGCAAAATCCGCAATTTGTAAGCGGATTCCGCAATTTATAAAAGGAATCCGATTTTGTTTGCGGATTTCATAAACATAGTCGAATATTTGTAATTGCTTTTTTCAAATCATAATTAAGAGCAAAAAAAGTCGGACAGACAAAATTAACTAAAATGAGCAGTCAGTGCTTTTTGACGCTTTTTTGCAAGCAAAAATCTGGAGCCGAAGAACCTTGCACTTTTTGTCAGACCATATTCGAAATGCAAGCTCGTCGATTATCCGATGATTATGCTAGCCTAAATTATAAAGACTGCGATGAACATTCAGACTTTACTATAAAACAGTTCGACGCTTCGGATGCAATTACCCGCCGTGATTATAGGTTTCGAGCGAAACTGAAATCTACTTAACAACCCCCGCCCTATTGTATCTACGAAAGAATCTCCACCCCTGTAGAATCGCACTAGAGCCTTGTATGTAAATTCGAATTTTGCTGCTTTCTGATTGGTCGATACTTCGCTGCAAGTAATCACTCTCATCCCCTTTCTTGAAATGGGAGATTTTTAAGTAGATTCCGAAACTCTGCTTTATGAACATTCGACAGTACGTTTATTTCAGTTTTAGTTTCCGTTGATGACCCAACAGTTGCTCTTTTTGATTAATTCTGTCTGTCCAACCTTTTTGCAACTCTCTATATATTAGAGCTTTTTGACTAGAGTTTTTTGAAATGAATAATTTAGTCACAAATTAGTTTTCAACTCAAATCTAAAATATCATCTCAAGTACTGCCTTGGCTTCACTCATCTCAAATACTGATTTGACTTCACTCACTCATCTCAAATACTGCCTTCATGATTTTACTTCACTCTCCACTAACTTGATCAGTAATTAGGATTGATGGAATTGCAAATACTGACCCGTTTCGGCAATACGGACAACATATGCACAGCATACGTACAGCACACGTCCAACGCTCAGCGTAAATATATTTGTATATGCTGTAGGTTGTGTTTCGAAACATATTTTCCGTAAATATAAATGAATTCAATCGGTGTTGTGTTTCCGAAACTATGGACCGAAAAAGTGCTTGCTGAGATCTATATCCCAAATTTCAAAAAGTGTTTTCCACCGCTATAGTCAACCAATGCTTTATGATTTGTTCATGAGTTCCGATGACAATAGTTAGACCCTTGTTTTTAAATTAAATATTGCTATAGATAAGAATTCTATCTCTGGCTTGCAATTGTTCAGATGCAAGTTCACGAATAAACAAACGTCGCTTATATTTGCGGATTCCACTTACGCTTGCGGATTTCACTTATATTTCGCGGAGTCTACTGACAGTTGTGAAATCCAGAACCACATGAAACAATCACTTGTTGCGGATCCCGCGACACAACAAATGTGCCGACAAAGTTAACGTTACAGGTATTTGTACGCGAAATCCACGGAAGTTTTGTAAGAGGACTCCACTTACCTTTTCGAACAAGTTTAAAGATTTTTGTCTCTGGGTTCCAGGAACATACAGACACAAAATTATGCACAGCTCGGCCTCGTAGTGAACAACTAAAATTGCCATATTGTAATTAATAGCGTGCTTGGACTGAAAAAAAACGCGCGCTCAAAATTGAGCAATCGAAATTGAAGGTGTTTCATTGTTCCGATCTATTTGCATCCAGACAAAAAATGTGACAATGTTTTTAGGTTTTTCCGCCTCTCCCAGAAAACAATTCAGACGGAATTTTTCTCTCGGGTATGTTAATCCTCACAGAGAAACTAGACAACTTAACTAAACGTTTTGGCGAATTGTTCTACACAATTTCAAAATGTTTGGTTCCCTAAGCTCAAAAAGGAAAATTAAAAGTTCTGCAACAGTTTTTTGGAAGTTTCAGGGTGTGAAAACTGCGGCTTTGTCATTGTAATGTAATTTAACTCCATCAAATTTTCCAGTTTGTTGTAATTTCTAGCGTTTGTGGCCCATAAAACAAATTGGATTAAGGCTAGCCAATTGATCTAAAAACATCTACAAAAGACGCAAATTTATTTAATCGGCGCTTGACCTCGCGTGTACGGGAAAAAATATTTAAAAAAGTTCTTGAAAATTTTTTTGTTTAAGCTTTTTCTTTTTTTTTCAATTCGATTGAAGCTACTTCAATCAGCTTAAACATCAGTAGGTTATCTGAAAGAAAGCTATCTAGTTAAATTGGGCAAAAATTTGACTCCGAAGAAACTCTAGTACACAACCCAAACAAACCAATGCGTTATATTACTAAAATGATTTTGAGTGTATTACTAAACTACTTGAGTGATTTTGCTTGTTCATTCCTTTTTGGGTGCAAAATGAGGCCCACTTGTTTTTAAATGCTAAACTGTGATTTTTGAGAAAAAACTTATTCAAACGTTAGATTCATTTAATGAACGGTAGTAAAGTAAAAACATCACTTTTGAATTGTTAGAAAGTAACCATAAGTAAACCCCTGCAAGAGTTGTTCGTTGTTTGTTTGATTGCCTAAAATCTGTTTTTTTTAGTTTCGAAGAGTTTTAATTCAGAACCATTTTTTTTGTTTGTTTCAATTGTTGTGTACTTGTGACCAACCAACCAACTTTGTTTGCATTCTACGGTTTTGACTTATGTATTTTGTATTCCAAAGTCTCCATTTTCATCCCAAGATAATAGTTTCACACCTTCATTATTTACAAAAATTATTCGCACCAAAGTTAAATACAATTGTGATCTAAGAGCATCTATGTATTACAAATTGTACAAAAAATACGTTCAAAAATGTTTAACTAAATCCATACTGAACGAAATATCATCACAGTTTGAACTTTTCGAAATTGGGAATTTTTATTAATACGCAGTTTCTATTTTTTTTCCAGTTTCAATCCAGATTGCTGTTTTTTAATTCCGTCCGAGATTTGCAACTGTTCATAGAAAACTGTCAAAAATATTGAATTCCACAGGTAAAATGGTCTCAGAAAAGCTGTTTAACCCAAAATGGTATAGTTTCTGGTCGATTAAATTGCTCAAGTTCACGAATATTACCAACAATTTGGCATAAATTACATAAAAACAAGTTGCAAAAAAGTGGAGCAGGAAAAAAACCAAATAAAAAGAACTGCCTTCCAGTTTTGAGCAGTTTTTTTCATTAAAGTTTCCTTTATTAAATGACCTTGAGACATACTTTTTGTCTGAAAAATTAGATTTTGCTTGCAAAAAGTGTCATTTGCGCTTTTAAATTACTTTGCCCTTCCAAGTTTTTGCAAAGCTATAGTTAGTTGCAAAAAGTTGCAACTTTTACATGTGATTCCGAACTTTTATTCTGTTTTTGAGACATTTATTCTGTCTGATTTGGCATTTGATTGCAGAACCTTTCTGAGCTGGGCCTTCTGCTGTTTTTAATTAGTTTCGTCTGATCGAATTTTTTTGCAGAACTCTATAAAAAGAACTCCAAAAGAACTCCTGTCACACATATTTGAAAAGATAATTTGGATTTTGCATGCAAAATGCATCCAAAATGTATCCATTAAAAGCTCTTTTTAATTAAACTTTCATGTCCGAATTTTTCGCCTCTAGTTTTATAGCTAGTAGCAAAAGTTTTGAGCAACAAAATTAATTATAAAGAAAACTTTTGCTAAAATTATCTTTCAAGACAGATTTCATATTTCATTGTTATCACAATTACGGTGAAAATGGTGCAATTTTTTCCGCGAATTTTGGGGCCAATTTTTCCCAAAAGATTCGTTCATTCTGGATTTTTAGTCAATCAAAATTTACACCAAAAACATATTGTGAGTCACTAGATGAGCAAACTTGTCAAAGTGGGCTTCTAAAATTCTAATACATGCCAAAAGTTTAAGATGTACATACCCTACAAAAACTTAAGCAGATTGTTTAAAATTTGTTTTCAAGCAAAGAAAAGGATTTTTATTTGATCTAAATGACACTTTTGGCTATCAAACAAAAATATTCAAATATGTAAAGTTTTGGAAGTTAAAACTTGCAAATTTTAGTTGAGCTATTTGAGGGTTTCACTATGATATAGCTTGCGCAACAATTGACCCAATAGATTTGGCGTAAGATTTTATTGACTGAAATGGCGCACAGACCATTCGGCCAAAGAAAGTTCAGATAACTTGAAACTCAGACAATTCAGCCTGAAGTATACAAAAAATTTAGCCTGAGACAAGTCGACCAATTTTACAAAACTTTAGTTTCGAAAAAAATGGAATTGAAGTTACTTCTCGGCTTATGTGGATAACCGGCTCTGAATTTCTTAATGAGTCTTACCCTCTGTTGGCAAGCTCGCGGCC